CACAAGAGTGTCCCACAAGAGTGTCCTACAAGAGTGTCCCACAAGAGTGTCCTAGAAGAGTGTCCCACAAGAGTGTTCCACAAGAGCGTCCTATAAGAGTGTCCCACAAGAGTGTCCTACAAGAGTGTCCCACAAGAGTTTCCTACAAGAGTGACCCACAAGAGTGTCCTACAAGAGTGTCCTACAAGAGTGTCCCAGAAGAGTGTCCCTTAAGAGTGTCCTACAGGAGTATCCCACACGAGTGTCCTACAAGAGTGTCCCACAAGAGTGTCCCACAAGAGTGTCCTACAAGAGTGTCCCACAAGAGTGTCCTACAAGAGTGTCCCACAAGAGTGTCCTACAAGAGTGTCCTACAAGAGTGTCCCACAAGAGTCTCCTATAAGAGTGTCCCACAAGAGTGTCCTACAAGAGTGTGCCACAAGAGTTTCCTACAAGAGTGACCCACAAGGGTGTCCTACACGAGTGTCCTACAAGAGTGTCCCAGAAGAGTGTCCCACAAGAGTGTCCTACAAGAGTGACCCACAAGAGTGTCCTACAAGAGTGTCCTACAAGAGTGTCCCAGAAGAGTGTCCCACAAGAGTGTCCTACAAGAGTGTCATTTGGACATATGTAGTGTTTCGAACGTGTTTACATTCGGGTTCGTGGGTTCCATTTTGTTTGGAACTTTTTTTGACACCGAGTGTTGGGATACCCTTAATTCTGATGAAAAGACACGCATCAACTTCTGTGAACACCGCGGCCGTGAGCAGATTGCAAGGTTGTCAGCACGACAGCAGCAGCTCGCAGTCGAACAGAGGCAGCTCATGGAGGAGAAGCAGCGAGCGCAGCGAGAGGGGCACAGAGACCCAACTGAGCTACGATCACCCGCCTCCCCGAAAGATGGTTTTTGTGTGGATAGTAATCATTCCGTATACTTTTTTACAAAAACTAGGTTGTGGCGGAACTAGCGTAACTAGCTTACCTGATCGACACCATATCAGGTGCGGGTCTTGGACTGGCCCATGTGTCGGGTGTCGACACTGTCGGCATCGTTCCAACCAGTGCCGTGTGATGGTTGGTCTTTCGATCGCGTAGGACTGGGAGTTGGAGCCGTTTCTCACTTCGAGCCACAAAGAAAAGCTGTTATTTTTTCATTTTGGGGTTTGTGAAAACAACACAAAGAAGGCGTTGAGGTCAAAGACTTTTGACCTGCTTGGGAACAGTCTTTGTAACTGGAAGTCCAGTGTCGTGCTTTCCTCAAACAAGAGAGTAGAACTCTCACCACACTTCTTAAGTTTCCAAACCTCCTACCCACTTGAAGACTTAACATTGCTTAAGATGTCTTGGACTGTTCAGCATTTCTGTCCGAGCACGGTGCCAAACGAGGCTCAAAAAAGGAAACACGCTCGCTTGCTGAAGACATTCCACCGCGCAGGACATCATTCGTTTACAGGGTTCCGCGAACATGGTCCCGTCCCAGGGGCAGCTCTGAGACAGGCTGACGCATGCATCAAAGGGGGGGCGCATGCAGACTATACTTTGATGTGTTTTACAATTTTTGTGTTGGGGCCTTTCAACAGCTTTCACACTTGAGGATGGAATAGATGACATTTATCACATCTTAGTATCTGAGCCCTTGCTTCACCTGCCAATTCTTTAGAGATACACAAATGCAAATCCAGCATTTTGATATTTTTTGATCGTTTTGTGTTTGTCCCTTGTTCGGTGGTGGTGTTTGGGTGGGAGCGCGATTCTGAAAGGTGGCCATCGTTTACAGGAGACAGGAAACATGGAAGATCACATTCTAGTTGGCTAGGGGGACCAAGAGACTTCCATTTCTCGATGGCCTCCAACCTAATAGCAAGCTTTCTTCCTGTTATTTGTTCTTTAATTGTTTCTACTCCAACCTAATTTGGAGACAGGACACATGGAAGATCACATTCTAATTGGCTAGCAGGGGGCCAAAAGACTTTCATTTCTACAAGATGCACATAGAAGGGACCGGTGTGGATTTGGCAGATGATCTCGTCCCCTGTAGGGCCAGGCTGCCCAGGCCGTTTGGCCCATTTGTGGTCGTGACCGCATTGCTTGCGGTGAGTTCAGTCAGAACATGTGGCAGCAGAGGAGGTTTTTGATGAATCACATCTTCATGTCACAAGAGTTACAAGAAGGTCTTAGTGGTGCCAGTCGTGGCATGGCTTTAGTATTTGGATGACGAATCTTCTTCACGAGGTGGACACAAGAAACATTTAGGTTCCACACTTTTGCTTATGTCCACACACCCTTCATTCCCTGGTGCTGCCATCAAGATGTGAGATGTCAATAGGTGGAGCTCGCATTGAGCTGATTTGTCCACCCTGCAGCCTGCAGTAACCCCCCCTTCTTAAGGCCTGGCGATTCACTGTACAGTTGATCAATCGTTGCTTAAGCTAAGCTGTGTTTAGCTAAGCTTTTCGCATGTGGGTTTCTACCAATCCTGCAATTCTGTTGGGTGCACTGATGGTAAATGCCTCATCACCCGTCCCTCTGAATCTTGCAGTACCTCACGTGCTATCACTTGTCACATCTTATTTTTGAAAATCAGATTGCCGACTAACAAGCACATATCAAGCCTGGAGTTCGAAGAGTGGCCGAGTTGAAGCATTTAAGAATGTTTAAAGAATTAATTCGTTTAATGTTTTTCAGCCAAGTGGACTCCAAGCTTGAGCCGGTTTCAGAAAGCCGGCGCTGCAATCTGCAGTAATCTGCTCCCTTCGGACAACAGGTTGATTGGATGATTTGCTTCAACTTCTTTTCTCCAAACGAATGAACGCCCTCTCTTTGTCGAGTTGTGTCTTGGATGGTCCCTTTCTCTTGTAAAACAGCTCAGTGGAGCGTGTTTCTCTGGGCGTTTTGGTCTCGGCGTGTCTTGAAGGGAGATGATCGAAACCCATGTTTCCCAGTCGAACCTCCTGCCGGCTGCGTCCAATTCCACTCGAAGATTTAGTCGAAGATCGGGGATTGTGGGGGGCTTGGAGGGGCCTGGAGGCTCCATCGTTTCGGATTTTCGGACCTTTGAATTCCTTTCTGGTGAGAGATCTCTCAAAAGGAATTTCTGGGTGGCCTGGATCCGCAGAAAGACCTGCTGCCTCTTAGATCTTCCATTTTGGAGTACTAAGCCCAGAACGGGGGGGCCATTTTCAGGTGCTCCGCGGATTGAGGATCGGGTCGGTGTGGGTTTCATGAGAAACACTTGAAACGTCGGACGCATCCGGCTTTGTACCGTTTGGTGATCGATCACCGCGGAAAGGTTGCGGAAAAGGGTCGTGCGCTCTGTGACTACCTCCGGCAGACGGGAGTCCTTACGGCATTACGGCCTATACTTACTGCTGGTTCATCCATCGGCTCAGGCAATACTCCAAACAGGCCATGTTTTTTTTCTCTGAACTGACTGCATGGCCCCTAGTAGCGTCCTTGCTCCTAGTAGCGATGCCAGGAGCCCCTGTCTTGATGTGGTGTTTGCAACTCGTCCGATGTAGCCGTGACATGTGCCACACCAGCCGTGACGTGGCCCTTTGAGTGCGTTGTTTCTTTTTGGAAAAGAAGTCCCGGCAACGGCAACCAAATACGTGGGTCCTGAGATCTGCTTGGCATCGACGTGTTTGGACCAGGTCTAGTTCTACACTTCTTTCGACTCGTTTATGGTATTTTTTCTTGAAGAATTGAGGGTTTCTGTTCTTTTCTTTGACAAATTGGAACTCTTCGTGCACCAACAGTACTTTTGTTGCTAACAATAAGCTACTAGTAACAAGTGCATCGCTACTAGAAACAAGTGCCTTACTAGTAGTAACAAGCTAGTAGAAATCTGCCGACTCCGACGTCCGACGTGGACCCGGACGGTTCGACCGCCGTTCGCCACTCGCGGGCTCAACGGTTCGCTCCACGGTTCGACGAGGACAGTGTGAGACTCAGCGGGTTGGTGGCGACTTAGCGAGTTCAGCTTCTTGTTTCTAATAGCTTCTTGTTACTACTAGTAAGGCACTTGTTACTAGAAGCTTATTGCAAGTTCTTAGAGTCAGGTGGGGTATGTTGCTTCACGGCTTCACATTGCTTGTGTGGGCGAAGATTCAGCTCTCAGTTGAAGCTCCTTTCTGCTGTGAAACAATCTCTGGAGAGGACCAGAACGGAACCCTCAGCCCTCAGCAGCCCTGTGCCTTTCCCTGTGCCCTTCAGGATCTGCTTCATCACGGATTTGTGTTTGCCTCATATGTCATAATACCCGGCATCATATACGATTCGTAGACATAATGTGCACATGTACTGTGTATATATATAACACACATATATATATATATATATATTGTATAGAATACATATTCATGGTCAATAAGCAGAGATCCGAGTCTTTGCCAGCACCATAATCGGCCAACGAACTCAGTCGCGACCCGAGCCCCACATTGCCGCCAGGCCCCGTCGAAGCGGGTCGAACGCGGTCCAAGCCGGTCGCCGTCGGAGTGGCTTTTGTCTTGAGGCCCAAGACAGCAATCAGTTCAAGCTGGAATTCGGAGGAATTCGTTGAAAGAACTGCAGGCACCTTTAGAGATGTTTCTTTCCGCTCATTTGTGGGGCATTTTGACTTCAGGGAACACATCGCCCCCCTGTCTTCGAGCCAAATCTCCTGATCAATTTCAATGACCAACCAGGAAAACTCGAGCACTCCTCGTTCTTTCGACTTCTGGTAGACCCGGCACGGTACGGTAGGGATTAATGACACTCAATCATAGTCCTTATGCCAAATCATGAGGCGTATCAATTGCCTGTACAAATAGTATGACAATGTATGACATGGAATCTTTGGCACTGGTTACCGTTTGAGAGCTTGGCATTGGGAGGATCAGCAAGGAGTTGAACTTGGCATTCATTTGCAGCAAAGCTATAAGTCTCGAGCCCAGTTCAGAGATGTTTAAATGTTTCTGGTGTAGCCCGGCCGAGCAGCCTGAAGCGCCACCTGAGCTGAAGTTTGAAGAAGCACCGGACACTTCGACTGCATGCCAGGTTGAAATCAAAACCAAATCCCGGCGAAGCCAGTCCGAGCCAGATTTGAGCCAGTCCGAGCCGGTGGTTAATCTGGTCCGCAGTAACAAGCGTCCGTCTACCCAGCCTCTTCCGAAGGAGTTCCTCACGGACTTCAGCCAAATCCTACAGGAAGACCCAAGTAAATCTCTCCGCATCACTTTCTGGGGTTCTCCGAACGAAGCCTTCTGTCCAGGAGCGAAGGTGGTGGTGAGCTTTCCTGGGGTGCATGGATTTGCCTGGAATTTTCTAACCAAGCGAGCGCTCGAGGCACACACGCAGCTTCTGACCACCTGCATCTTTTTGCCCAACAAAGATTCTCCTGGTTATGGCTACCATCATGTCATTGATGAGCACACTCAGGCTTGCCACTGTCTTGATCTCTATGGGCATCCAGAAGAGTGGGGCTGCTCCTGGTATCACAAATGGACCCTGAAGACCAAAAAGGCTGCAGAGATGAGATGCCAGCTGTTTGTGGTGACCAAGTCGGATGGTACCCTGGGCTGGTCGCAACAAGGTGAAGTGCGCTTTTTGGACGCCTGCGGCTGCAGATATGAGACCATAAGCATCCACAAGTTTGCACTCCGCTTTGCGGACGATGCCCCGGCCGTGGCCGCCTTCCGTGAAAGGCGCAGGAGCTCGAGGGTTTCGATTCAACAAGATCTTAGTGCATAGCGTCTCAAGACTTCATAGCTTTCGGACCAGGAGCGCTTTCCTGGATCTTTGTCATGCATTTGGAACATGTTGCTGTCCCTTTTTGCTTTTGTTGTGCTGATTCTACTGGAAAGTTAGCGCCGCACGCCTTGTGGGCCACGCAGCTGGCCGACAGATTTTACATAGGGAAAAGGTTTTACAGTCCTTGAGCTGAATGTGTGAAGCACTACCAGCCGGGACAGCAGCCCAAGAAGGCTCAGTTATAAGAATGTTTCACTCACAGATCCGACAAAGAGGGAGCCAGTTGTATGCAGCGGTGGAGTGCTGTGAAGCTTACCCGTGCAGCTTCAAGATGAAATTGGAACTTTTATATACCTAGGCTGTACAACAACCAGCCATTATATACATGCCAGTACTAGGTCTCCTTGTAAGATTCTGATCAGCAGAATAGCAGGAAGGTGCTTTCCGCCGGTCCCATTGTATTGACAGAAGTCGATGTGTAATGTCGACGTTCAGTGTGTTGAAGCCCGGACCTGTATTGTCTCAACGGTTTCGTGAGAGCCCAAGCAGAATCCCCAGCAACTCCGTTGCTCCAAAGCTGGTTGAATTACTCACTTGGGGATTTCTCGTACCCAGTGAAACCATGTGAAACTTTTTCGGGTACTGTAGCCCAAGCTGCCTACTCTACCAGGTCCGATTCAGCTTGGCTTCAGCCAGGTTCCTTGAGGCTTCAGCCCGGCTGAGTTGCGGTTGCGGTTCACCGGTCAGACCTGCCTGTGACATGCCCAAGACGCCGCCGGTGCGCAAAAACTGGGCAATTTGCAATTTTTGGCGAGATAGGTGATTGAAGGAGAAACCCTACGACGAGATCCGCCAGCCCAGTGCCAGTGCTG